AAGTTTTTGGAGAGATTCATGTTTTATTGGACGCGATTCATGAACCATAAGCAGAGTCTTCAGTTCGAGAATGAGCTCAAGTCGACGGTCACGACGAAGATGACACACATGCAGGACAGGTATCACATGAGTTGGGTGGAGGTGCAGTTCATGGAGCGGGCGGTGGAGGTGTTGTGCAGCTGTAGGCAGACCCTGATGTACACCTATGTGTTCGCCTTCTACAACGATAGGACCCCTCAGATCGACATCTTTGAGGACAACCAAAGAGATCTGCAGAAAGCGGTCGAAACGCTCTCCGAATACTTGGAGCGCGAGATCGACGCCGAAGAGGACAACCGTAACATCAGATCCCAAGTCTTGCATTCATTGAATTACTGCCAAAATCGACGCAAAGCTCTCATCAATCATATCTCGGAAGGCAATGAGAAGGAGTGGTGGAAGTATAGCTTCGACTGACACACCACTGTCCACTCAAACATTCATTTTTGACAAATACTTGTATTTATTTACATATCATTTCAATTATTATTATTTCAATAAAATCTTTAAAACAAGTTCTTCATCGAAATTCTTGTTATTTTCCAATTTAAGACTTAATTCTGTTTAACATGTCGTTAAGAAATGTGTGTTTAATTTACAATCAAATACTGTATAGTAAGTACTGCTTATACAGACATGGAGTCAATTTTATGAGTGGATATCTGGTGGACAAGTCAGCACTTGATGGCCCCTTGGATAGCCCCTAATATGCCGAAAACACCGCCGGCTTTGAACATCATTTTAGCCATCGATGACAGCAACTCTTTTCTAGTCCTGTGACCACGTAATCCTAGTCTGTAGACATGATTTAGATTTTAGTACTTCAATTGTCTTACACTTTATTGGTGACAGAGATTGTCTACACAGTGTGTAGTACACACCTGATAGCGTTGACCCCTCCAAACACGGCTCCGGCCGCCAAACCCACACAAACACCGCCGAGGAATCCATTTCTCACTTTTTCCCCACACGACGGGCCT